CTGCCCGCTGAAGCTCAGCCGAGAGGAGGCAATGGCACACGTGCAGCAGGGGCTGAGCAGGGACACATGTGCTCCAGGTGAAGCCCAGGCAGGGACAGGAGGACAGGGGAGCAGAGAGCCTGCCGGCCAGGCTCTGCCTCATGGGCACAGCTCGGAAATGCAGAGACGGGAGGGGAGCACATTCCAGGTGTAGAGAAGAGAGACGAATCCATGAGGGCAGGAAAGCCCTGGCTTGTGTCCAACCCAGCGGTTCCACGAGGCCAGGCGCAGTGTGTGACGGGCAGAGGGCCATGCAGTTGTGGAGGAAGGGTGAGGCCGGGCCACGCCAGGCTGAGAACTCGGGCTTTATTTGATAAGCAATGGAGAGCCATTCAACACCTTCTTGCTTAGTCGTGAAAACAGAACAGTCCAATGATTTCCCATGCCCTATGGAACATTTAATTGGGTCCTAGCTACAAACTGGAGTCTTTGTTATGTTTGTCGGGGCCCGTTTTGAGAGATGGGGATGGAATTTGCGGCAGCTCTAAGTCCCCAGGCCCACCTCAGCCCCTTCTCTTCTGCCTGACCTTTCTCCCTCAATCTTTCCTTCCCAGGGATTTTGGCGGAAGTGGACAACACTCACAGCCCAGAACGTTCAGAGGCCACCTTCACTTTCATTGCCTTCAAAGTACTTGGAACACTCGAGACACCATGGAGGGCCTTGGCCGGTGCTGTGCTGTGTCCTGCCGATGCAGGCAAGGAAGAGCATGGCTCAGGGCTGGTGTTTTAATGACTCTTCCTTCTTTATTATCAAAGTCGTTTGGGAATAGGAACATTTATAAATATTTGATGACATAGAAACCACATGAATATTCAGCCATTAAAGTCTGTGCTTGGAATATTGCTCAGTGAGGACCTTGTGCTGCCCACCTGGGGGAGAGCTGATGGGGGCGGGGGTCATGGCAGCTGTGTCTGGAAGGTCTGCCACGTGTGGCAGCAGGGGCAGCTCTGTCGTGTTCCTCCAACTTCCTCCGCCCTATCAACCCCCAGAGAAATGCAACTCCCATAATTTTCCAGACAGGGGATGCCAATTTGGCTTCGTGCTAGAGGGGTAAAGAAATCCTCACCAGGCCACCTTGAGGTCCTGTGGGGTAACGGTAAGGCAATGATGCTCTGGGTCAGGGTCCACCTTGCTGACCTCCTTGCGAGGGGCTGCCCGCTTTGCATCTTGGGGCTGCTGGTGCCAGTGTCGAGGGAGGGAAGGCTAAGGTCTGGGATCCTGGACTGTGTCTGGGCCCACTTCTGCTGTAGGAGCCCCGTGCCCACAAGATCGTGATGCTCTGGGCACTCTGTCTCTCCACCCCTCCCTTCCCCAAGGATGAAACTGGTGCGGGCCAGGCAGCTGGGGTGAGGGCAAGGCTGTCCAGCAGATGCATGCAGCAAGGCCAGGAATCTCTGGGGATAGCAGCCCTTGTGTCCCAAGCCACATGCCCAGCCATCGAGTGCTATGTGGGTCACGGTGCTCAGGGCCTGAGGCTGAACGCTGCTGCCTCTCTGAGGCCACCGAGGAAGGGGAACCGGGTGGCCGAGGCTGGGGTGCTAGGAGTGGGCGTCCCCTTCCTGGGGATCTGCTTGCTCTAGGGCTGCTCGAAGAGTCTGGTCTCATTCGTCTGAAAAGAGTCTGAGAGTAGAGGCGAGGTGGCTGTGTGAGCTGTGCACTGTGTGTGTGTGTGGCCCGTGGGACCAGGAGGGAGCGTGATGGACAGAAAACATTTGTCCTGAGTAGCTCCGGGTGTAGTGTCCACTTGTGGCTTGGGCTGCAGAGTCCCCAGAACCTCCTGGAGCAGTTTAGCACAGACCATGGGGACAGCCACAGCTATTCCGGATGGAACTGTGGCCTTGGAAGCTTGTCCCATGACCAGTCTTCTTGACACAAGTCATGCCCAGACTTCTCTCCTGCCCTGGGCAAGGCTGGGACAGAACCCACCCCTCACCTCAGTTCACGATCTGGAGTGCGTGCAAGTGTCACCAGTTTCTCATTTCTTTGTTGCTAAAGCCACCCCTGACCCTCTTGAGGACACTGGCATCTCTTGGCCTGGTCAGCCCTGCTTCTCCCAGAGCCTGAGGGCGGACAACTTTCTCCCGGGCTACAATCATCAGGAGACACTCTAGGGCTGTGCCTGGGAAGATAAGCGAAAAGAAAGTACAAACTGATCCCAGTTAAAGGCACTGGTCTGCCCAGGCAGCCAAGTCTAAGGTCTCGACCAGGAGTACCAAGAATGCCTCGGAGCAGGGGCTGGGCCCGGAACTGACTAAGAGAACACACTCACCACGCTTTGACTTCAGTCGTATCCAAACTCATGATGGGACTTGCCAGCACGTGAGCACTGGTTCTGGGCTTTTAGCCCCTGTGCCCTCAACTTTCCCCATTCTGAGATGGGGCAGCCTTGTAGTTACTCCTGTGGGGATCCTTGGAAAACCGCAGAGCTGGGCAGCTGGCCCCTCTGACCCTCTGGCAACCTGGCTTGGGGGCTGAGCCGGGAGTTAAGCTGGTGATTGAGGCAGAGCCTAAGGGGACCACAGACTTCCTCAGCTCAGGATCCTTGTCTGAAATCCAGAGGGTGGTGAAGCCAGAGTAAGCTGGGCCAGATTGGACAAATCCTAAACGTGGAATTCAAACAATAACCCCAACTGAATGCATCCAGCCAAGTCAGCTTTTATAGTGCCTCTCCTGAAGGCTCTACAAAGCCATTGATCATCTCCGCTGGGAGCTACGTAGGAAAGGCACTGTCTCCTCCTCTCTCCTTTTTTTCTGATGGAGAAACAAAGGCCAGAGAGCTTCAGCGACTTGTCCACGGTAGAAAGTGTCTCGGGAGTGCACTACTCTAGGGACTGCCTGACCACCTCTCCTTTCCGTGTAAAGGGAAAAAACAGAGCAGGACCAAATCCTTCTGTTAGAAACACCAGATCTGGCTATGGAGACTACTGATGCTGCACAGTCAGCCTGCAAGCTGCCCCCGAGCTGTCCCCAAGGTTGGAATGCTACCAGCTGAGTAGCTGGAAGGAGACTGCCTGCCCGAATGCCCTGCCCCCGCAACGGTCTAGAGGTAGTTCTTGCCCCCGAGCCTGGGCCACTCTGCACGCCAGCAAAGCAGTGCCTCTTGCCGCCTTGTGATCTCTCATCACTCTCTTTAACAAGTGTGGCGTGGTCGTGTACCTATGTGGTCCTTCCTGTAGTGTCGGGCAGGAGCGGGTATGGTGGTCCCATGGCCTCCCGAGACAAGAAGGCAACAGAGTCCCTGCCAACATCGCAGAACACCAGCCACTTCCACCTCTACCCATCCAAAGTCAAAGAGGGTACCAAGAATGACCCTAACCTTTGCTTCCATCTCTGTGGGGCAGCCCAAGAGAACTGGTTCTTGGAAATGCTCTGCACGTGGTGACACAATGGGAGATGTACCTGAGCGTACGAAGGAGGCACTCTGACAAGTGACTGCGCCTGCAGCTGCTTCTTCCCAATGGCTGCGAAGGGTGGTACCAGAAGTCAAACAGCCCCCGTGTCTTGCTCAGCTTAGGCTCTGCCATAACAAAATACTACAGCGTGGCTTCAGGACAGATTTTTATTTCTCACAGTTCTAGAGGAGGCTGTCAGGGTGACCAAGATCAAGGTGATGGCAAGGTAGGTTTTATTCTGAGACCTCTTCTGTTGGCTTGTAGGTAGCCACCATCTTGCTGTGAGCTGATGTGACTGCCTCTTTGTGCACACAAGGTGAGAGAGGGAGCAAGCTCTCTGTGTCTCTTCTTCTAAGAGCACTAATTCCATTATAAGGGCACCACCCCCACGACCTCATCTAAAGCTAATCACCTCCCAAAGGCCCCACCTCCAAATACCATCCTATTGGCGGTAGAGCTTTAACATATGAATTGAGGGGGACCCATTCAGTCCATAGCACCCTGGTAGAGATCAGGCTACCTGGGGAGTGTCAAGCTTCTCCTGTGGGTATGTGGCCTCACTGTCCCCTTTATTGTAACTTGCCACTGGGGACTGGGGCTTCCTTTGCCTTCTTCCTGCAACGGTTCATTACTTTAAGACTGACATTCAAGGCACATGATGACTTCAGTTTAGGTTATCCAAGCCCCCCCACCCCTGCTTCCCTGCCTCTGTGCAGACAGCTGGGAAGATGCTCTCCTTGGTGCTTGACTGAGAGCAAATCACTCTTCCTCCAGGAAGTACTCCTGCCAGAAAGAAGAGAAGGAACCTGCACGCAAAGCAAATGGGCACCGTGCCCTTGAGCAACCAGGCTCACCTCTCACGGGCTGTATTAGGCATTGGCACAGTCAACACAGAGTGGGTAGCCCCAGGCCAACTGTGTTGGGCCTCAGCTACCCAGAAGACTTGGGCACACAGCCGCTCAGGAAGGCAGGTACCATTTCTAGGTTCCAAAAGTCAGTTATAAGTTCACAGAGAGTTGTAGTAAAACACTATTTTTATTAAGCAGCAAAGCCGTGATTACTTTAGCATAAAACTTTGGACCTGGTTTCAGCTTTCCACAGTTGGATTTTGCTGTTCTCCATGCATTTCCCCAGCTTGACTGTGGAGGAAGTGCCGACCTTGATTGTCAAGGCCAAGGCCTCGGAATTTTCACAGCCTGATATGGAACAGCTCCAACTAGATTGCAAACCATACGCTGGAAAATACTTCTTGTCGTATAAAGGCTCTTCTACCCTGAGCAGACTCCGCAGCCTGCCTGCCCACGGTAGAATCGGTGTCTGCGAGGCTGGGCAGCACACGCTATAGGGATCACAGGCTGCCCCTGCAGCAGGACTTCAAAGAACAGGTTGTGCTCAAGTAACAATTACAAAAAGAACCTATCAGGAAAGAAAATGAAGGATCCACCCCACCCCCTACCCCTTACTCCAGGGGACTCTGTGCGCCTTGGAGGTCCCCTTGTCATGCAGGCCTCAGCAGCTTGTCTCCCCTTCTTCTCTCGAGGCTAGAGAGGAAAGTATAGGTGGCGCTGCTACTCGTACAAGTTGGACGGTGCTGCAGACATGAAGTAGCAGATCTGGCCTGGCCCGTATTCTGCGTCGTCTTGGAAAATCTGTAGACCTGAAGAGCCCTGGACTTCTGTCTCAGGGGTTGGTACCTGCTGGGAAAAAGGGGGACAAAGTGGAGTCCTTTGCTAGAGTGCCTGGGCCCATTTTGCAGCGGTGGGAGAATCCCTTTAGTCCGAGTCAGCAAGCCAGTGAGAAGCAAGTCTTTGGAACACAAGCCTGCAAGGTGCCAGTAGAAGTTGGAGCTGAGGAAATGGGATCACCCCTGTTTCTCTCTCCCAATGGCATCTTGCCTTAAAGACCAGCAGAAGCAGTCCTGGGCTCTCCCAAACTTGTCTGAATGCCTAAGGCTACTGGGCCCCGTGTCTGGCCCTCCCGGTCCAGTTCCCTACCAGCCACGGCCAGCCGAGGCCTTAGAAGGTCTCTCCCTGCCCCTACCTTTGGCCCTCACCATTCTGCTCAGGCTAGGTGACTTCCACACTGAGCCTGACCGGCAGCTACCAGGCTCACTTGAGCAATGAGACAGGGAGAGGTAACAACCCACTCTGGGCTGTGGACAGGGGAGGCGGGACAGACACACAGATGGTGTTCCAAGGAGTGGGCTGTGCGAATCTTTTCTGCTGGAGAAAGAGGGACCCCTTGGGCTGGGTTTTGAAGGTGATGTAAGATTTCAACAAGTGGAATTCAAGAGGGTGGAGGAGAAGGTAGGGGAGACAGAAGGAGCAGGGCCGAGCTAGGGGCAGAAAGCCAAAGGCGTCTGGGGACCCGGGGAGACGGAGGGTCCAGAGCTTGGAGAAGATGAACCCGAGCAGGGTGTGGGGAGCCCCTGAAGTCTCGTGGACAGGGGCCCTCCAACACAGTCCTACCTTTGGCTGGTCCACTGCATTCTCCCATCTGTGCAACCTTGCAGGGTCCTCCCTTCCCCACTTCCCTGGGACATCTGCTCAGCTTGCTCTGCCCCTCAGGGCCCATCCAGAGGGTAAGTGCCTTGAGAGCAGGCATGAGGAAGGCTCTCACCAGAGCCTGGCTTGGTAACTGAACCACAGGATCCACTGACCATCTGATGTCTTCGTGTGGGCAGTCCCTCTAATGGGCCAACTTTCTGGAGGGCTGGTGGCCCAGCTGGTCAAGGGGTCTAATCATAGCCATTTAAAATATCCAATCCCCTTCATTCTGCCTTAGTTTACTGTTTTATTTTTCTTGTTAGTTTTTTTTTAGGAGGTTAAGTTCTATTACGATTTCTAAAGCCAGAATCCAAACAAACACCCTTTGTAAATGCTTTTAGTCAGACTGAGAGTTTGTGGTCCCCAAGGGGCCTGCTGGGAGTGTACCCGGGAAGTAAAACCTGCTATGTGACTGCCATCTGGACCAGCTCCTGCCACTGCCCTAGCAACACAGCCAAGACAGATGGTCCCCAAGGTGGGGTCTGCCCTGCCAAATATGGGGCACCCCACGGATGGATACCCTGCACATTCATTCAGTGGAAGGACTCCTGGTTTATTGTCAGTACAAGGAAACATGCCACACCAGGCCTTGGATTTTGTAGCACAACTAAAGATCCGGAAGTTCAGAAAGGGGTCTGGGCTGGGGCATTGAGCTCAGCATATGGCAGGACTCATTTTGCCCAGGAAACATATTTGTGAGAGGTTTCCAAATCAGATTGCCTTTAATATCGCCGAGGACAGCTCACTTTTTCATGCAAGCCTAGAGAATGTTTTTGCTCAGCCGTGACTGCTACCCCATGTGGGTACCCACCCTCAGATTTCTTTGAGCTTTGAAGTGTGGATTTCACACACGGAACATATGGGGAAGGGTCCAGCCTCGGTGCAGAACTTCTTGACCTGGGCCGGGCAGAGGAGAAGGGAGTGTATACCTGAACCCAGGTAACTTGGTCCTGCAGGGAGGCCTGCTCACTGGAAGGCCAAGTATTAACCTGGAGGTAAAGGTGATGCTGTGGGTCTTGTGGCTGTTGCCAAAGTTGGTTGAAATCCTCTGGCATCTGCAGCATGACTAAGTCTGAGTCAGAACTTATCTGACACTGAGGGATGATGGTAGAAGAAATCATCTCAGAGCTTGGGTTATGTGCCAGGAGCAATGGACTCAGGCAGGGCCCCTGCTGGTCCTCAAGAAGAAAACTGTAAGAGAAGAAACATGTTACAGTGCCACGGGTCTAGAAACGATGGCCCAGGAGACACTGTCTTGCTCATCACTAGGTGCTCAAGGAACATTTGCTTTGAGTGGCTAAATCAGGATTCATTTGCTTGGACTCTCACTTTGGCCCGAATAAGTCTCAATTTGCCAAAGTAAAGTGAATGTAAATATTAAGAAAAATTAGTCATTTATATCAAGTGGTTTTATTTCTATTACTTGGACAGTCCTGGTTCTTCCACGATGGTAACTTCTGTGGCCGTGTGTCGCTTCACCTACCCCGAATTCAGGAACTTGCCCTTCGTCACTGAAGGAGCTCATGGCCGAGAGGAGCTTGCAAGGTCTGTTTTCCTTCTCTAAGTCTGGGGCTCCCTCTATCACCCTAAACCTGGAGGTCGTGTGATAAACAGAGATTTTTGAGCGTCATCCAAAACTCTGAATCTGTACCGTTAACAACTGCTTCAGGTTGATTCGGATGATCAGGCCAGCGGGAAACATGGCACTAACCCACCCCACATGTCAGGGACACTGATCCTAAAGGAACGCAGAAGAAAATCCAGAGGGCTCTGGGAGACCTGCTCAGAGAACTGGCATTCATTCAAAAATAGTTATTGGGTGCCAAGAATGTGCTACACAACCCTTCACTGTTGAGCAGAACCTTCTTTCTCTGGCGTTTGGGGCCAAAAGTTTTATCCCTGAGCAGAAAATGTGTTCGTGTGCTCAGACTGCCTCCCAGGACTTGGTCCTTCTGTGTTCTTGGCTCTTTAGGCATCCAATGGCAATCCAGCAACTCTTTCACACTTGCTTCCCCCACAGAGATCGTCAGTGCCCTGGAGACCCCTTCACCTGGTCTACTGTGACCACCGGATCCCAGGGAAGTGGAAGAAGGAAGCTAGGAGCCAGGAGTCATTCACCAGGGGACACTCAAGACTTTACTATAGACACCCTGCGCTGTGAGACTGGGCTTGGGTGCGTGAAGTCAAGTGATTTCAAGAGTGGCATGCTCATCCCCTAGCTTGGAGACTTCCTGATCTAGTCCTCTTATTTTCATGGAGATGCCTCTGTTCCATCAAGGCATGCTCGGCTATGCGCCATGCCTGTGGAGGCGGGGTTCAGTGGCCGCAGAGCAGGATGAGTGGGAGCACACTGCTTGGGATGAGGGGACTTTGGGTGCCCGTGGGCAAGTCACCCATGGTTTCAGGTATGGTGTCCAGCCACGAGGAGAAAGCAGTGACCTCAGCCCTTATTACCATTCCATGCACTTCTTACCTATGACTCCTGCCTTCCTGGCCCCCAGGGTTTTCACCACGATAGTTGCTGGAGAGCTGTTGCTCAGCTGCTAATCGGACAGGAACCGTGATGTGCTGCGTCGACGTAAACGTATGGGTGTTATCGAGGGGCAAGGAGAGGCCAGGTTGGCTTGGCATGAGTATTTGCATCACTTGGTTTTCCATAGTAACATTATGCTGCTGTGACTGCTCCTGCAGCCTCTCCTCCTGCTGTGGGAGGTATTGCACCGGCTCCTGAGTGGGCTGCTGTGTCAAAAGAAAAGAAATAACAGAGCCTCTCAGAAATGGAACACAAACACTCCATTCTCCCAAGGTGGAAGACAACAGCAATGCCGCCTCTCGGGTGACTGTCTGCTTGTTTGGGCATGAGCTGCAGTCGTGCTCCCAGCTGTGAGAATCTGCGGTGCAGCACATATGTACACGCACATGTGCGTGTGTGTCCAGGTCTGGTTGGCCAGGATATATTTTTATCTCAGGCAAACGAATTGCAGCCAACTGGGTAGCCACTGGCCCCTCAAGGAGAAACAGCTGAGCCCACATTTTCATGAAAATGAAATCCCCTTTCAGCTACACAGATGAAACAGGCTTTCCATACCTGGGAAGAGGCGTCACAGGGCTCCTCAAGCTCCTCAGGGAATTGGAAGGAGTAGGATGAACATGAACCACAGAAATGCTTGGCCTCCTTGCAGTCTGGGAAGGACCTGTTCATCGGCTCAATGCGTTGTTTCTTGGGCACTGGCTCCAAAGGCTGGGGCTCAGGACTGTGAATGTGGCGCGAGGTAGACGGCTGAATCTGTAAGGACACAGTACTGCAAAGGTCTTATTCAGAGGCCACAGCTTTCCTTAGGGCACAAGACATGCTGGTCATGGAGCAAGGCTGCCTACAGGCCAGCCCACAGGAAACCTTGGCTGTACATGAGCCACATCTGCCACTGCCAGGGCCTGGCTGGGCCCATCTCAGCTCTTGCAGCCAAGAGAAAAGGAGCAAAGCCGTAAGTCCCTGCTGAAGATCGTTCCAGATGTCCCATGCTGCCCTGCAGGCAGCAGCTGTTACCATTAGCAGGTCCTATTGACTAACTCCTTGAAGACTGTCAAGGTCCCTTTCTCCTCTCCCTTCCGCCACTTACATAGAACTGGCCTCTGACCTGCAACTTGGAATCCTGCATTGACTGGAGCTGCTCCTTCAACATTTCCAGTGCGTGGTTCTGGTTCCAGATCTCACCCCGCAGCATCTGCGTCATCTCCTCCAGCTGCTCCTGGAATTTCTTCATCAGCTCCTCCTCCCGTTTGTTGACGTACCATATGATGGACGGTGGTGGGTGTAGTGACTGTGTGAAGGAATCACTTATGGTTCATACACAGGGCCATTGGGTTCTCCAAATTCTACCATATTGTTTTGTTTCCAAGTTTTGAAAGACTGAGAATGAGAAAAGTGACACTATAACCCTGATTTCATTCACTACTAGAAAGTTTAAAGAAATAGTTAGGGAATCCAGAAATTCTATATTAGAAGTGGATTACGGGGATCATTTAGTCTAATTTTCCCCCTAAACATAAAGCTGTGGAATTGGCCCAGAGACATGAAGTAACCTTCCCAAAGTCCTTAGTGAAAGAGTCAGAGTGAAGCAGGTCAGATCACAAATGAGACATATGGGGAAACACTTATCGATGCCTCTGCTAGCTTGGCCCTAGAAATCTAACTTTAACTTGAGTACCAGCCTCAGATCTGGAAATAAACAAATGTAAAGGTTGATAAAATTAGAGAATGTGCTGGGGGACAAACTAATGCTTCGGATTGGCTGGAAAGGAGGGATGAGGCAAATCACACGTGGAAGGGAAGCCAGGAAAAGAGCATTGTGCAAACCATACACATTTAGGTGGCCGGGGAACTTGAATTTTATTCATCAGCCACCTTGCACTGCTGCTGGGAGGAGTGTTCTAAAACACAAATCTGATTGGGGAAGTAACATGCTCGCATCAATGTTGTACAACATGCCTTCTGGCAGCTGTGTGGAAGATGAACTGACAGGAGGAAGTAAGTTTAGAGTCAGAGAGAAGCTAGTTAGGAGGCTGTAGAGGTAATTCAAGGTAGAGATAACAGGGGCCTAAAACAGATCAGAGACAGGAAACAGAAAGGAAGGGTCAGGGGAGTGTCCAAGATGGCAGAGTAGGAAGACACTGAGCTCAACTGTTGATCAGAAGACTTGAAGCCAGCAGAAAAGATCTTCTACAGCTACATATACAAAGAAGTAAAACCATAAAGAGATGGGTGGCATGGATGGAGTCACAGGATAGTCAAGACCCATATACCCCAAGGGTGGGTGACCCACAGACAGGAGGATAATTACAATTGCAGAGGTTCTCCCCAAGGAGTGAGAGGTCTGGGCCCCACATCAGACTCCCCAGGCTGGGGGTCCTGCCCTGGGAAGATGAGCCCCCAGAAGATCTGGCTTTGAAGGCCAGTGGGGCGCTTACTTTCAGGAGAGCCAGGGGGCATAGGAAATAGGGATTCCACTCTTAAAGGATGCACACAAACTCTCACACACTCTGATACCCAGGGCAGAAGCAGTAATCGGATAGGAGCCTGGGTCAGACCCACCTGCTGATCTTGGAGAATCTCCCAGAGAGGCAGCAGGCAAATGCAGGTCACTCTTGGGACACAGAAACTGGTGGCAGCCATGGGGGGGAGCTCGTTCTGGCACAAGGACACTGGTGCTGGCAAGAGCCATTTTGGAGGCCTCCCTCTAGCTTATTAGCCCCAGGACCCAGCCTAGCCCTGGCCCAACAGTCTATAGGTGCCACTTCTGGGACGCCTCAGGCCAAACCAATAGCCGGATAGGGACTCAGACCCCAACCACCAGCAGGCTGGCTGCCTTAGGACCACCTGAGCTCCCAGCTACCCAAAGACCTGACCCCATCCACCAGAGGGCTCAGAACATGGACCTGCCCACCAGGAGCTGGCACTGGCCTCAAGACCCCCTGGGCCCCATCCCTGCCCCCTGGCAGGCAGACACCAGCTCCAGGACCACCATAGCCCCATAGATTTCCCTGTCAGGGCCTAGTCTAAAGACATCACCAAAAAACTACCAGAACTTATAAATGAATTTGGTAAAGTTGAGGGTACAAAATTAATATACAGAAATCTGTTGCATTTGTATACATTAACAACAAACTATCAGAAAGAGAAATTAATGAAATAATCCCATTTACAATTGCATCTAAAAGAATAAAATACCTAGGAATAAACCTAAGGAGGTTAAAGACCTATACGCTGAAAATTAAAAGATACTGGTGAAAAAAACTGAAGATGCCATGAATAGATGGAAAACTATACTGTACTCACGGGTAGGAAGAATTAATGTTGTTAAAATGACCATATTACCCAAGGCAATGTACAGATTCAACGTAATCTCTATCAAAATACCAATGGCATTTTCACAGAACTAGAATAATTCTAAAATTTGTATGAAAACACGAAAGATGCTGAAGAGCCAAGATAATCTTGAGAAATAAGAACAAAGCTGGAGGTATCATGCTCCCTGACTTTAGACTACACTACAAAGCTACTGTAATCAAAACAGAATAGTACTGGCACAAAAACAGACATATAGATCAATGGAACAGAATACAGAGCTCTGAAATGGACCCACACTCATATGGGCAATTAATCTACAACAAAGTTGGCAAGAATATACAACAGAGAGAAAACATTCTCTTCAATAAATGGTGTTGAGAAAACTGTACAGCAACATGCCAAAGAATTTCACAACTTGCATAAAAATAAATTCAAAATGGATTAAAGAGTTAAATGTAAGGCCTGAAACCATAAAACTTCTAGAAGAAAACATAGGCAGTATGCTCTTTGACATCAGTCTTTATTTTTTTTGGATATGTCTCCCCAGGCAAGGGAAACAAAAGGAAAAGTAAACCAATGGGACTACATCAAACTAAAAAGTCTTTGCAATGCAAAGGAAACTATCAACAAAATGAAAAGGCCACCAACCAAACAGGAGAAAAAATTTGCAAAAGATATATCTGGTAAGGGGTTAATATCCAAAATATACGAAGAACTGATACAATTCAACATCAAAAAAATCTACAAACAATAAATTCTGGAGAAGATGTGGAGAAAAGGGAACCCTCCTGTACTGTTGGTGGGAATGTAAATCGATACAGTCCCTATGGAAGTTCCTTAAAAAACTGAAAATAGAACTACCATACGACCCAACAATCCCACTACTGGGCAAAATCCCTGAGAAAACCATAATTCAAAAAGAGACATGTACCACAATGTTCATTGCAGCTCTATTTACAATAGCCAGGACATGGAAGCAACCTAAGTGTCCATCAACAGATGAATGGATAAAGAAGATGTGGCACATATACACAATGTAATATTACTTAGCCATAAAGAGAAAAGAAATTGAGTTATTTGTAGTGAGGTGGATGGACCTAGAGTCTGTCATACAGAGTGAAGTAAGTCAGAAAGAGAAAAACAAATACCGTACGCTAACACATATATATGGAATCTTAAAAAAAAAAATGGTTCTGAAGAACCTAGGGGCAGGACAGGAATAAAGACGCAGATGTAGAGAATGGACTTGAGGACACGGGGAGGGGGAAGGGTAATCTGGGATGAAGTGAGAGAGTGGCATGGACATATATACACTACCAAATGTTAAACAGATAGCTAGTGGGAAGCAGCCACATAGCACAGGGAGATGATTGGCTTGGTGCTTTGTGACCACCTAGAGGGGTGCGATAGGGAGGGTGGGAGGGAGACGTAAGAGGGAGGAGATATGGGGATATACGTATATGTATAGCTGATTCACTTTGTTATACAGCAGAAACTGACACACCATTATACTGCAATTATACTCCAATAAAGATGTTAAAAAAAAAAAAAAGCAAACAAACAACCCCCAAATGGGCAGAGGATATGAATAGATATTTTTCCAAAGAAAACATACAGATTGCCAACAGGCACATGAAAATATGCTCAGCATCACTAACTTTCAGGAAAATGCAAATCAAAACCACAATGAGATACCACTTCACACCTGTGAGAATGGCTATCATCAAAAAGACAACAAATAATCAAAGTGTTGGTGAGGGTGTGGAGAAAAGGGTACCCTCCTGCACTGTTGGTGGGAATGTATATTGGTGCAGCCACTATGGAAAACAGTATGGAGATTCCTCAAAAAATTAAAAATGAAACTACCATAAGATCCAGAAATTCCATTCCTGGGTACTTATCCGAAAGAAAGAAACACAGTAATTAGAAAAGATATAGGTACCTCTATGTTCATTGCAGCATTATTTCCAATAGCCAAGATATGGAAGCAACCTAAGTGCCCACTGATAGATAAATGAATAAAGATGCAGCATATATACAACTGGAATATTACTCAGCCTTAAAAAAGAATGAAATTTTGCCATTTGCAGCAACATGGATGGGCCTACAGTGTGTAAAGCTAAGTTAAATAAGTCAGGACAGAGAGACACAAATACATTGATTTCACTAAATGTGGAATCTAAAAAACAAAACAAATGAACAAATAAAGACAAAACTGAAACAGAGTCATAGATACAGAGAACAAACAGTTGGTTGCCAGAGGGGAGGGGAGTGGGGGATTAGAGGAGAAGGTGAGGAGACTAAGAAGTACAAACTTCCACCTGCAAAATAAATGAGTCACGGGTATGAAAAGTACAGTGTGGGGAACACAGTCAATAATTATATATTTCTATGGTGACAGATGGTAACTAGACTTATCGTGGTGATCATTTTGAAATGTATAGAAACATCAAATCACTGTGTTGTGTACCAGGAACTAACATAGTGTTGTAGGTCTATTACACTTCAAAAACAAACAAAGAAACAAACTCGTAGAAAAAGAAAACAGATTTGTGGCTATCACAGGTGGGTAAGGGGGTGGGTGGGGAAACTGGATGAAGGTAGTCAAAAGGTACAAACTCCAAGTTAAAGATAAATAAGTTCTAAGATGGAATGTACAACATGATGAATATAATGAACACTGCTGTCTGTTATATATGAAAACTGTTAGAAGAGTAAGTCCTAAGGCCTCTTATTACAAGGAAAAAGATTTTTTCTATTTCCTTAATTGTGTATCTATGTGAGATGATGGATGTTCACTACATTTATTGTGGTAATTATTTCATGATGTATGTAAGTCAACTCATGCTGCACACAAACTTTTACAGTGCTGAATGCCAACTGCATCTCAATAAAACTGGAAGTAAAAGAAAAGAAAATTTAAAAGTCCAAATGCAGGGACACATTTTAGAGAAATTAAGGAAGCGGATAGGACTTCTCAACTGACTGGCTGAGGGAGACAGCAAAGAGGTGAGATTCTTGGAAAAGAGCTGTCAGAGCTGTAAGTAGGGCCTAGAAACAACTGTTGCTTGCCTTGATCTGTGCTAGACACTGTGTGTATAACAAGACAAGAGAGTCACAGTGCCAACCCACAATCCCCATATTAATGATGAGAAAAAGGTACACACACATGGCAATCACTAAAGACAAAAAGAAGATATACTGTGGTCCTTCAACCTATTTATGGTTAGTGGAAACATATAGCTGAGTTATTAAAGAGAGAGAGAGAGAAAAACATTCAAGTTGTTTTTTTCTCATTTGGAGTAAAAAATTGTATGTTATTTTTAATCCATTGAAAATTGCCCAATTGTCCTTCTTTCACAATATAGTGTATATCGTCCTCTAAGAAAGCAGGCATTCATTAGACAAAAGAAAATCTCTTAACTCAGGACTGGAAGAGACAAACCTTACAGGTCATCACATCTACCCTCACTTCTCCAGGTAGGAATCCTTTCTCTGCTGTCCCTGGCAGACGAGCTACCAAGCCTTGGCTCAAACCTTTCCATTGAAGGGGAGGGAACCTAACCCATCTAGAAGGACTTCCTTGAAGGGAGCAAGAAAGTTGCCCACCCTGAGCTGCTCGCTCTTTGCCATAGTTTGAACCATTGGAGACATATCTTCCACTTAAGGAGCAGGACGGCCCTGCAGCTATTTGGATCAAGCTGTCTGGTCCGTCCCAGTCTGCCTTCTCCAGTGCTTTCCACTAAAGGCCATGTGACATTTTCCAGCCCCTCTCCACCCTGCTCTCAATCTTCTGGGTACACTCCAGTCTGTCAATCCATGGCACCCAGAAACAAGCCTATTACACTATCACGTACAGAGCCAGGCTACACACACACATTGCTGGTTATTTTGACTATTTTAAAGTAAAATTATATTTAAAGTTTAAATATAAATTAATTCGAAGGAGAAGAGAAACCTATCAACAGTGAAAGGGGAACCACAACTTTTTAGCATGATAGAGACATAAAGACAAATGTATTTCTACAGAAATTTTCTTTTAAATAGTTCAAAGAATTTTCATAGCAGTCTAAAAATCCCTTCAAGGCAAGCAGACCATTTCAAGTTGGAGAAACTGAGGCTCAGGGATGTGCCAAGGTCACTGTACTGGGGCCAAACTCAAACAACTGTTTTCCAGCCCTCATTTCTTCTCATTAGAAAAGGATGCCTTTGGCATTAGGAATGAAGAGCCTCATCTAAGGCTTGGTAATTAATGCATACAATTCCACATAACAGACCATAAACTCATTATCTTGGCTGCCAATCCTGATTATAATAATCCTAATATAAAAGATGATCACCCAAATTTGTGATTATGTACACAAATTTGGGGGCAGAAGAGCAACAGAATAGTTAATCCAACTGTTTTGATTTGGCCTTGAACCATACATTGGTGCTGACAGTTGAAGGTTGGATATATCTAACATTCTGAAAGGGATGCTTCTAACCTAATAACAATTCCATTGCGGAAACCTAGCTCGTGGTGGGGAAGTGTTGGTATGGGTAGGCAGTGTTGGTATGGGTAGGCAGGAAAGTCATCCTCCCTTGGGATAGTTAGCATCCCCTCACAAGTGATGAGCACAGCTCTTAAAAATAGTGCCCTTGGGCTTCCCTGGTGGCGCAGTGCTTGAGAGTCCGCCTGCCGATGCAGGAGACGCGGGTTCGTGCCCCGTTTCGGGAAGATCCCACATGCCGCGGAGCGGCCGGGCCCGTGAGCCATGGCCGCTGAGCCTGCGCGTCCGGAGCCTGTGCTCCGCAAATGGGAGAGGCCACGGCAGTGAGAGGCCCGCATAACGCAAGAAAAAAAAAAAAAATAGTGCCCTTTCTTAGTATTTAAGCTTCCTATTTGGCTCAAACTTTCTCTCAAGCACAAAGTGTCTTTGCATATTTCACATTAAGAGGAGAACAGGATTTGGTCTTAGAGAACCTCCAATCTCCCTGTTGGCTACAGCCCATTGGATTCTCAGCTGCATCAGAAAATTCAGTACAACAGAAACGGTGATACAGTTTTAAAAAAATAAAGAGCATGCTTTTTGCAAAGTGAAATTGAGCACAAGAGTGGAAATTCGGGGCTTTGCAGGTTAGTGGTACAGACGAATATGTGGAGCAAGGCTCCCAGAGATACCTGATTTCCGACGTCAGCAGTGACACTGGGGAACGAGAGGGTCTCCCGGTCCTCCTGGTGTACCTGGTCCACCTTGTCCACCTCTTTCTCCTCATCCACCTGCTCCACCTCCTCCATCTCACCCATCTGGTCCATCTGCTCCACATGTCCCACCTCAGGTTTGAATTCAAAGCTCGGTAAAGGTGATGGTGCTGAGGAAGAAAAGACAGTGGAATTCATGATGAAAAAAGCAAAAGTACTAACACTACCAAACAGTTTACACAAATTTCTCTGTTAATTTCCTGTTATAAATTATAAAAACAGGAAAGTCCAGTTTTATTCCATATTAATGATTAGATGTGCCAGGTACCAGGAGTAATACAGAACACTACTTAAAAATCTGTTCATATTTGAGGGACTTTTCTGGTGGCGCAGTGGTTAAGAATCCGCCTGCCAATGCAGGGGACATGGTTTCGAGCTCTGGTCCAGGAAGATCCCACATGCCGCGGAGCAACTAAGCCCGTGCGCCACAACTACTGAGCCAGTGCTTTAGAGCCTGCGAGCCACAACTACTGGGCCTGTGTGCCACAACTAATGAGCCCACGTGCTGCAACTACTGAAGCCTGTGCACGTAGAGCCTGTGCTCCATCCACACAAGAGAAGCCACTGCAATGAGAAGCCCGTGCACAACAAAGAGCAGCCCCTGCTCGCCACAACTAGAGAAAGCCCACGTGCAGCAACGAAGACCCAGCACAGCCAAAATTAAATTAATTAATTAATTAATTAAAAAAAATTGTTTAAAAAAATCTGTTCATATTTGAAAATTAAGTAAAAGAAGGGAATGTCTCACTTTACCTCCATCCATCCAAGCATAAGCAGGCACCCAACCCATTCGTGTAGTGCATTCATAAAATTAAGTACTACTCAGCAAGAAAAAAGGAATGAACCATTGATTCACACATGTATGAATCTGAAATTTATTTTTTTAACAAAGCCAGACCAAAAAAGGCTAGACATTGTATGATTCCATTTACATGACATTCTGATAAAAGGAAAGCAGAGATAGAATGCAGATCAATGGTTGCCAGAGTATGGGGGACAGAGTTTGAGTTCAAAGAGGCAGCACAAAGGAATTTGGGGGGTGACATAACTGTTCTGTTTGGTACTGTGGTGATGGATGTATGACTCTTTGCCTTTGTCAAGAACTGCACACCCCAAAGAGTGGATTTTACTGTGCGTAAAGTAAATTGCTCTTATACATTTTTGAAATCACAATCATGGGTTCATGGACTTTGTCCCCGTTTTGTTTTGAAAGGATTTTTTAAACAAAGCTTTGAGATTGACAGCAATAATGGAAGAACTGTTAACTAGAATATTTAAAAAATAGAAGCATTACTTCTATATGTGGACATTCCACAATACAAGTATGATAAGGTCAGCTAATTGGAGGACATGATTTGCATTATGTATCCACCACTGCTTTAAGTTTCGTATTTTTTATACAATTATATTTATGAAATGTCTTTAATATTGAAACTCCTGTTCTAAGTATCATTGTTTTTGAGAGACTATCACTTCGCCCTTTACTAAGAATTCTTTTTATAGTACAGTTTTTAAAAAACAAGCGGTTTCTTTGGACTGCAACTACTATACCATAGCAGAAGAGGCTGCACAAGTATGAGAAGATAAGATGCTACTCCTCCTAGGACTGAGATCTAGCACCAATCTATAGATTAAAATTAAATGGGAGATTTACAATGTTTTGTTAGTTTCAGGTGTAAAGCAAAGTGATTCAGTTTTTTATATGTGTATATATATATATAATTTATATGTATATAATATATATATACATATGTATACGTACATATACAGATTCTTTTCCATTATAGGTTATTGCAAGATATTGAGTATAGTTCTCTATGCTATACAGTAGGTCCTTGTTATTTATCTATTTTATATATAGTGGTGTCTTATCAGTTAATCCCATACTCCTAATTTCTCTCTCCCCTCAGTCCCCTTTGGTAACCATAAGTTTGTTTTCTATGTCTGTGAGTCTATTTCTGTTTTGTAAATAAGTTAATTTGTATCATTTTTTTTAGATTCCACATATTATATTTCAATAAAAACTTTAAAAAATTAAGTGGGAGAGAATAATACCATTCCGGAGCACTTGAACCATTGATAAGATATTCATTTTCACTGCTCTCAAATCATCATCTCAAAAAATTTACAGAAGATGAAGAAAGTTAGAAATCACTCTTGCAATTTCACACCATTATAAAAAGAACATTATCTTCATTTGAAAAACTGTAACTACTCTGTAGGCCACTATTTTTCTTCTGAGAGTCCCCATCCAAGTGTCCAAATGTACCCACCTGTTGATTCAGGTATGGTTTCCAAGGTGGATGTTCTGGAGTCATAATATGTAAGAGACTTTCTTTTAATGACACAAGCAGATTCTTGTGATCCATACTGGTCAACCATTACAGCATCAACTTGACCCTAGGAATTTCCAAAAGGGACGGAGAAGACATTTCAATTTGGCGACAAAGATATATAAAACAACAAGAAACTGGCAGAACACAAACTTTGATGCGTTTCATTTCATTTCTAATATTGTCTCAATAAATTGAATACCTAACACAAAGCCATCATGAAACACATACTTGAAAAAAATTGTTGGAAGATAACAACAAAGAAAGATTATGGGTGCCACATGCTATCCAACGTCAAAACTCAGAAGAGAAATACAGTATAGATGTGCTAAAAGCACAAGCATAAGAAAAATGTGTGCCAACCAAAGGCCGTGGCTATATATATATATATATATACATATATATATATATGCACTGCAGAGGTGTTGGTAGCATGCCGGTTCAGAGAAGTGGGAAGGCTGTAGGAGAACTACCCCCACTGATGGGGCCATTTTTCTAAAGGTCCTGCACGTACTGGCTAGGCTTAGAGAAAGAAGAGGATGACTGGGGGGCTGTTTAACCACTTCATGTTTTTTACACAAATTAAAGTTGAAAGTATTAGTAGCAAAAGTACCTTTAATATATAGTAGCAGAGAGATGGAAGTGGCCCTGGGGAGCTTCTAGTGCAACTTCCCCATTTGATAGTGTCAAAGAGGAGAAGGTCATACAGCAAGTTAGGAGCAGAGTGAGTGATATAATCCAGTGACTTCAAACTCAGCACCACTTTCCCTAACCCTAGTACCTCAGTTTAAGCCGTTTGTCGCTTTAAACCGTATACATTATATTCCCATTTAGTGATGCACTTCCATTTCCGTAACAACTGGATCCTTTCTGAATAGGCTGGGGCTCACTGCTCATATGAAATTTAAGTACCTGGTTTATCAGTGAAATCTTGTACATCTCTGCCAAAGACTTGTTTGTTTGTGTGTGTGTTTGTTTAGGACTGGATTAAGACATAGACTCATGCTCATTTTTCCTTAAGGAAGCTGTTTGTTGGAGCACTTTCATCCAGATCAAATCCCAGCATTTGAACTTCAGGAAATTGTGCAACTTCACTGTTCAAGTACACTGTGTTTTGTACTCTTCAAAATAAGCAATATGTTTCTGGGGATGTGGCAATCTTCTCATTATTTAGAAAGATATTCTGCTGGGGTGGTATTCATTGAGATAGGATATGACCTCTCTTTCTGTGTCTTCTTGCTTCTGCTCTTTATCATAGCCATATGTCAATTCAATCACTAGCTCCTTGCTTCCTGGATGATTTTCAATAGAAATGTATATACTTGGGTGTTAAGATGTCCACTTTTGTGCATTCATAATTTTTAGCCCATCAATATAAATGCAGTGAGCTTAAATGATCTCAACTGATGGAATCATGTGCAGTAATAGTAAATGGCTTGGGGAAAAACAACGCAAAGAAACTATTTTGAAAGCTAAAAGATTCCAGCTTAAAATGCAATTAGGATGAAGGCCTGAAGACAGTCTTTCAAGAGAGGCAGCTAGAAGCTAAAAAGAAAGATTAAATGAACATGCATACATGGGGGCAGGAAGGCAATCGATAAGCTTTTACAAGTTCAAGAGGAGTTTTGGATTCACTTTTACTCCATAACAGTTTCCATGAACAATACACTAAAGGATTTTAAAGAGAAGCATGGCCTTTGAGGCTAGACACAGAGCAGGCTTCCACTGCAGCCTCCAATACCTGATGCTCTTGTGACCTAGAAGGGAGTGTACATTGTGGGGGTGGCACTCCAGAAGTATGTCCCCCAATTTTCACATTTTCTCCTTGATTAGCTTAATGTCAAAAGTGTTCTAGTTTTTAAGAGATGCTTGCATTTTACTTTTTGGAAAAGAAAAAAAGTGCCATAGGGCTTCCAGTCAAGATGACAGATTGAATAGCCATGGGAAAAACCCTAGGTAAAACAGAATAGAATTTTACAAATGCACTCCTTTAAAAAGAAAAAGGACAGAAATAAATTAAAAGTCTAAGGAATGATCAAAAGCACGATGAATAAGCTCTAGAGAGTAGAGGTCTACTGGACAACATTGTACCTATAGTCAACAATAATGTATACTTAAAATTTGTTAAGAGGGTATATCTCATGTTATGACTCTTACGGCAATAAAATAAATTTTCTTTAAAAATAGGGTAAAAAATATTCTCTCTGGGCTTCCCTGGTGGCGCAGTGGTTGAGAGTCTGCCTGCCAGTGCAGACGACACGGGTTCGAGCCCTGGTCTGGGGGGATCCCACGTGCCATGGAGCGGCTGGGCCCGTGAGCCACAATTACTGAGCCTGCGCGTCTGGAGCCTGTGCTCCGCAGCGACAGAGGCCGCGATAGTGAGGGGCCTGCGCACCGCGGTGAGGGGTGGCCCCCGCTTGCCACGGCTGGAGAAGGCCCATGCACGGAAATGAAGACCCAACACAGTCATAAATAAATAAATAAATAAATAAATACATTGTGTATTAGAAAAAAATATATATATATTCTCTCTGGAGAATTCCCTGGTGGTCCAGTGGTTAGGACCCGATGCTTTCACTGCCAAGGGCCCGGGATCAATTCCTGGTCAGGGAACTAGGATCCCACAGGCCACACAGTGTGGCAAAATAAATAAATAAATAAAATAAAACTAAGCCAAAGCAAGATAAAAATAAATTTTAAAAATTCTCTCTG